AATACCAAAGAATATTTCTGAATATATTGGTAATGTTCTTCCCACAGAAATTCTAAAGGTCTCAGATCTTTCTGATTTCCAGTCTGTCTCTGAACAAAATAAAGGGAATTTTTGTGCATGTGTAAAGAATGAATGCCAGTGTAAGCAATGGCAAAACCTAAATGTGTACATGTTTTCTGACATACAGAACTCCCTCCGGTGTGTATCTGAAAGAGCAGCACATGTGCAGAACAATCCACAGCTCACATCAAGAATTTCCTCCAGTTCTCTCAAATCTTGCTCTGAGCAAGCCAGAGCTCATGTAGATGATGTGACCATTGAAGATCTTTCAGGTTATATGGAGTACTTCCTGCATATACCTAAGGAAATGTCTCACATGGCGGAAATGATGTATACCTGACCCTAGCCAACAAAGGGCGTTGAGATCTGCCCTGAATCATGCTCCTTCTCAGAAGCAGTTTGTTCTCTGTGCTTATAATAAAACCACTTGGCATTTCAGGCAGACTTCTTGTTTTTAATAGATCAACAATTGAAATAAATTCTAAATCAGAGAACTGCAAATAGCAAGCCTAGGAAATTATGCCATTTTGTAGGTATAGCCACAATTGGCTGTTTGGATTAACTGGCTAACATTTTACAGCGAATTATAAAACAATCTAGAACGAATTCAAGCACTTTCCACATCCGAGGCTAAGTATTGTATATTGTTACATGTTATATTGATTGTATATGTAACTATGTATATGCATTATGTGTGTAATTGCACGCAAGCACATTTTAAATTATCAAAAGCATGGCATTGAGTATTTCAATTTGACTTTCGTTGCTAATGCACAAGTCTTTTTCTGAAATATGTTGAATACATTATCTAAAATTGTACAAGTCAGTAATGTTTTTCTTCTCTGTATTGTTTTAAATACAATCTAAATTCCATGTTTGTGCAATTTCTAAAGGAAATCCTTCCAAAGCATCAATATTTGGATTTTATGGTTGATGAACAATGGGGAAATATTAATATTCAATCACATATGTGACCATTAGATGTCAGCTTTGCTCCATATCAGAATAGCACAATTTTTACTACATTTCATACTTATGTAGAGACTATTCTATTCATTCTGCTTGCTGTTTATATCTAAAATATGACACTAAAGCTGATTTCTATACTTATTTCTGTGACAATGTGCTAGAGACAAATAATACACTTAAGATATATGGATTATATGTGAAAGAAACCAGTTTGTTTGGCAAACTTACACTAAGAAAACTACTTTCAAGGCACAGTCACATGCATGAAGTCTTGGGTTATTTGTTAACCTACTTCAAATTCACAAATGTCTATAACTTAGAATCAAAAATTAATTCTAAGGTGAAAGAATTCAGTTCTCCCTTGATATAACTATCCTTGTGGAAGCCAACCTTAAAAGCTTTGTGTCACATAAGTACAGGAAGTCCTCAATTTATTATCACAGTTGAGTCCAACATTTATAATGCTAAGCGATACATTTGTTAAGTGAGTTTTGCCCCATTTTACGACCTACCTTGCCACATTTGTTAAGTGAATCACTGCAATTATTAAATTAGTAGCACAGTTGTTAAGTGAATCTGGCTTTCCCATTGACTTTGCTTCTCAAGTCACAAATGGTGATCACATGCAACTAGCATAAATATGAGCAAGTTGCCAAGAGTTGAATTTTGATCACATGACCATGGGGGTGTGCAACCATCATAAATTTGAACCTTGTCAAGCGTCCAAGTTTTGATCATGTGACCATATGAATGCTGAGAAACAGGTGAAAAACAGTCATGTCTCTTTGGTGGTGGTGTAACTTCAACTAGTCACTAAACGAAGAGTTATACATTGAAAACTATCTGTAATCTACTCAATTTCTTACACCTAATGTGGCAATGGCTAATGTTTCCATGATGTTTTCTCTTAATTCAGTTTAGTGTTGTCCCGATAATTTGGGAATAAAATCCACAGAATTTACGGTCAGAATACTAGCTAGAGATTCCAGGAATTGTAAATCATGGGGAAGGCAGACACTACTTTGTTTTGAGGTCTCGTTTTCTGGCCCAGAATACCCTGTGTTTTACACTGCTAACTAAGCAAGGATCTAATAACTCCCTTGGAAGATGTTGCTCTTGAGATAAGCATTTATTTGCAACTTTACTGAGTCAGTCATGGTTTCTTCCTTCTTTATTATATGAACAATATTGAGCTGCTTCTTGTGCAGCTTCAACACTCCAGTTAGAGTTGTAAAAAAAATGCAAATAACTGACAATAGGTGACTGGAGGTGCTTGAAATGATTTTCTTTCGCAACTGGGACAAACAAGATTTGTGGATGGTAATTCGTTGCAAATATAGTATATGATGTTCTTTTAGAATTTTCTGTATTGTGTACTTTGCACTGTGCAAGCAATTACAGCATAGAAACTAAAGTGGAATTCTTGGCCCTAATTGTTGGAAGTGGCTATATAAAGTGTTAGAAGTAACATCTCCACATTTTCCTCTGGTCTTGTATAAGACCACCTGTTTCCTGTACATTCTCAGGAAATAAGCATACTTTCAGCGTGCATTATATGAAGGGAGTTCTCTGGTTGAGTATTTCAGAAATGTATTTCAGCCACTGAAAAATGGTTTGCTTTTTTAAGTGAAAAAAGCAATCTTGGTTATTAGATAAATTAAGATTACCTACTAGTTTTCTTCAAAAATTTTGTACTAAAATGTTGCAATAGAAATAGACTCATTTGGATTTTGCAATTATAAAGATATGCTTACTAGTGAAGCTTAGCTTTACAATTAAATGAAATATAATTAACAAAGAGCAAATATGGGAAATTGCATTGGTGCTTAATAATGAGAACTCTCAATATAAATTGATCAAATATCAGCTTTAGCCAACTTTCCACTTGAAGTATTTCTAAGTGAAGGCTGAAATTGATCTATATTCCAAATTGGCAATATGTGTCGTGTGAAATACTAAACCTAAGCAGAAGATAATTATGAATTAAAAATATTGATTTTGTGCTTGGGAACCCAGACTTGTTTCTTCCCATATAAGACATTGAACAAATTATTCTCCTTCAGTGTTACCCATTTGTCTTTCTGTGAAAGTATTTTCAAACTGGCTGTATCCATTAGAAATTTTCTAACATTCATTTAGTGATTACCACTTTGATGCTTTTAAAATTCAAATGTGCCCTCTGTCCCAAAGAGTTTGGTATTCTTGCCATAATTGTTTTTTTTTAACTTTCTAAAGATTTTTTTTTACAATTTTGTTATTTATAATTGTTTTGACTTCCCACTATTCAAATGGGAAAACCATGTATTTTTACTGAACAAAATCTTTTGTTGAGAAAAATGATTGTTGCACAAAGCTCTCTGATGGACTGTTCAAACAACAAACTTAACCAGGTCATTTGTAGACCTAATGGCCTTCCCATTAACCAGTCATTTAGGGTCAGAAAAAAGACCATTTTAATCTCAAATGTATCTTGGTTGAATTGTTAGTAAAAAGTCTCATCTCTTGACCACAATTTGTTGTGTGGACTCAGATTCAGTTTACACCAGTGTCTCTCAAACTGGAGAACTTATGTGGCCTTCAATTGCCTGGGGAATTCTGGGAGTTGAAGCCAAAACATCTTCAAGTATCCAGGGCTGAAAAACACTGCTCTGTGTAGTCACTCTTCAAAGAAATGTTGGACTGAGAGAAATTGACTGACCCAAAGTCACCCCTGAGCTTTATCATTAAGGAAGGAATTAACACCCCCCCCAAAAAGCCCCAATTCAACATCCGAATCCTGATTAAGCATGCCTGTGATTGCAGCTGTAATGGCAGAGGAAGAGATCTTCCGTGAGAGAAAGGAGCACGCTATTATTTTCTGAGCTCTTCTGAGTAATGCACATTAAACGCTCATAGCCGCACGGCGAATTAATCACGTACAGTTGCTACAGCGAGCAGAATCTGCGGCTGAAGGCAAAAAAGGACTGGCGGTGGCTTTTCAAAGCCATTTGCCGATTTGCACCTGGCCGAGCTCCCCCTCAGCACAGAAAAGGTCAGCGGGGAGGAAGCACGCGCTGTGGCCGCGGTGCTCGCCAAGGGAAACCGACTTCCTCCAACTGAAGGATTGTCTTAAGGGGCAACGAGGGAAGAGCAAGTAACACAGTCACAATTTCCCGGGCAATTTTGAAGAAAGCTTCCCAGCGACGCCCGAATTTTCCGAAGAGAGCCTGTCGCCTTCCCGGCCCAGCAACATAATGCTCAGCCAAATTTACAAAAACCCGGATTCACGGGTTGTGCCCCTTCCAGTCCTGCCTGCTAACCTCTTGGTTCAGGGATCCATGCATGCTCTCCTTGTCCCCACCCTCGGGCTTAGGAGAAGCCGTTTCTGGCTCGGCCCTACTGGAAAAAAAAAAAAAAAAACTTCGGCGCAAACAGCCAGGCAGAACCGCGACCCCCTTCTCCGCCTCCCCCGCTCCGCCGTTCCCAGGCTGCTATTTTTAAAAGTACACACTTGCTTCCTCGGTCCCTCTCCTCCTCCAGGGTTATTAATTTTTATTCCGGCCCCGAAGAGGTGGTTCCTCTCTCCTCCGTAAAAGGGTCTTAGAAAAGGGGCTGGGCGAGGGGGGTCTATTTTAGGAGCAGCTCTAGGGAGCCGATGGCCTTGTTAGGGCAGCTTTGACCTTTTCTTTGGCAGAGGAGGAGGCGAAAAATAGGAAGAGACTCTGGAGGAGATTGGGAGCCATGCACACAGCCTACGGGGCAGTAAAAACGCTGGCATCGCCCGGAGCCGGGACCTCGTGGAGGGCATAGGAACCAAAGGAAGGAGGAAAAGCAACGAGGGCGTAAGCCGTCGGATAGGCACAATCCGGCAAGAAGATTAAAGAGAGCGCAGCTCCTGTAGATGTGCACGGACTCTTAAAAGAAAGGATTTGGGGGGGGGGGATTTTTAAGGAGACTGCAAGGATGATAGAAAAGCCGGTACAACTACTTTAGTGGAAGGGGGAAATTACAACCTTTGCCCGGCCTCTGATCAAGGATGTAAAGTTTAGAACTCTACAGCTGAGAGGGAACTTCAGTCCTATTCTTTCCAAGACCAGGAAGTAGTTTGTATCTCTAATCAACATCTCCACATCTTCTTGAGTAATGGTTCTGTAGAACCAAGAAGGGCAACTTTCTGAGTTCTCTGGCTCCATCCTCCCTCCATCAACAGGGACTTGGATCCCACAGCAATTCTCTTTTCTTGGGCTTTTTGAAAATGGTTCCGCTGAACCTGGCTATGCGGCATTTGAATCGGGCTATGATTGGTCCATTAATGGAGCCATAATCTGGCTAAATAGGCAAGAGAGAAGAAGAGAAGAGGAAGGAAAAGAGGAGCAAAAGAGAAGAGTGGAAACCTCTGGCTTTCTGACTTTGGTCCTGTATCATGAGTGGTGGAAGGTTTGACTTCGATGATGGAGGAGCCTACTGTGGGGGCTGGGAAGGTGGCAAAGCCCATGGGCATGGCATCTGTACTGGCCCCAAAGGTCAGGGCGAATACTCTGGCTCTTGGAACTATGGTTTTGAAGTGGTGGGGGTATATACCTGGCCCAGTGGCAATACCTATGAGGGCTACTGGTCTCAAGGAAAGCGACATGGCTTAGGGATTGAAACCAAAGGACGATGGTTTTACAAAGGTGAATGGACCCATGGTTTCAAGGGAAGATACGGCATAAGGCAGAATGTCAGCAATGGAGCAAAGTATGAAGGTACCTGGAATAACGGGCTGCAAGATGGATATGGTACAGAGACCTATGCTGATGGAGGTAAGACTGACTAAGATGTGGTTGGCTGCCAGTTCCTTCCCAGATGGGGCATGGACAAAGGGCTCTGTAGGCTAAGAGTTCCAAAGCTGCAATCTTGAGGGAAAATAATTCAGTTCTTATTCCTGAAAAGAGGTAACATGAAGGCCTTGGAGTAGAATGTAATATTTAATCTCTCCAGATGTATGTCTTATTTATTAAATTGCAGCTGAACATGTACATAGTTCTCCCTCTGTATATTAATGAGTGTGTGTATGTGTGCAAACTTTGCATTTATGTATGTATGTATGTATGTATGTGTGTGTGTGTGTGTGTGTGTGTGTGTGTGTGTATGTATGTATGTCATATATATGTCCCATACACAAATACCTGGCTTTCTCATCACCATTTCTGAATTAATCTGCGTATCTTACATACATTTTATTGC